CATATTATTTTTAAATAAATACATGTTAACATAATAACATGTAATATAATTTTTAAATGTCCTAACTAATTAGATTATAAGTGATTCTAAGACATGCCTATTATCATAGGCCAAATGATAAATATTTAAAAAAAAATTATAATTACAAAATAAGTTTTTTATTTAAATTTTAAATTGTATTATGTCAGTATGTCATCTAGTTAGTATTAGGTCAAGTCATGGCCTAACTAGCCTGACCCTTTCTATAAATTATCTCGTTTTATTTATATTAAAAAATCAACTAGGTAGTTATCCTTAGAAAAAAATCCCTGCATTGGCCTTTTGGTAATTTGGTAGCCACGCTAACCTTGCGTATTAGTGACACTTTAGTTCGTGAAATAAAATACATATAAAAACAAAATTAGTAACTATAGGCATAATATAACTATTACATTTTATAATCGGGTCTCAGAATTAACTCTCTCAAATTAACTGGAAAATTGTTTTTTAGAAGTTAATATCATTTTTTAATAGAAAAATGTATGTAATGATTATTAATTAGAAAATTGATTATCAAATACCACCATAATATAACCTATAAATTATAATACAGATATATACGATATTTAATAGAATTATTGAGGCGAAGAGAAGTTCGTTAATTTTATGTTTAATAAATATTAACTAACTTATATGTTAATTTAGAGAAATGAATGAGTTTAAATATATGTTTATCGTTTATGAATACTAGTTCATATTTTAAATGAAATTTTCAAGGTCCGACTATATACCTACTGTCTGTATGTTTTCGTGTCATATCAAATATGTCATTATCTTTTACAACAATTTTCATTTATTACAATACAAATATACAATTTGCATTAACCGAGCTATATTAAATAAATACAAATATGTTATGTAGTCCTAGCAATATTTATAATATTGTCATTGTTTAAGTACCTACCTACTAAACATTTCAATATTTCGAAAATACACAATAAAACTACTATTACACAAAACCTATTGTGTAAATATATATATATTTTTTTTAAATTTAAATTATATAATTTGTGCCTACGTAGTAATTCTTTTTTATAGATAAGTAACTATATAGGTATAATATAACTATTATACCTATAATGGCTATAAGCTTACCTCAACCTACCAAAACTACATCAACTAAAAAAATGCTTAATAAAAAGTAATTAAGAGCGTTTTAAGTTAAAATAATTTTTCATAATTAAAATTAAAAAATAAATTTGTAATTAATTAAGTGCAGTGATGAATGATGATAGTAATAACATATATTGATATAGATAATACTGCGTACCTTTGTTTTATCTCGTGTATACATACAGTTAATAATTATAATTTATAAACATGTTTACACTTAATAAATTATACAGATAGAAGAATAATGATCAGCTTTATTAAAATAAGAAATCAAGTCAAAGGTAAACGCTTCCAAGAACTCGAGATGTTATTAATTTTAAGTTACAATTAAGTAGCTTATATTGTAGGCAATGGCCATAATATACTAAAAAGTCGAAATATTAACAGATATTGAACTGATAGTTATTATTCAAATTAATGATTGATACAATTATAAGCTTTTAATTTCCTTGACCCAAATTATGATTACTGATAACAGGTGAAATTTTCTTTTGAATAATGTATTACATCATCCTTGCGTATATTTTATAAAAATGTACAGAAAAGTCACTGTATTTTAGGTAAAGATAAAGATTATCAATTATGTCACTCTTAAATGTTGAGGGTGGTTTCTAGTAGCGTGAGTATTGGCTCTAGTTGATAATTGATATGCGCTATGTTGAGAGGTTAAATACAAATGAAAATGAAAAAAATACACAGAAAACGAGAATATTTAAGCAACGACAATTTTTGACATGATTGAGACATAATTTCTATCATGATATAATTGATCAAAATTTGTTGGATCTCTAAACTATTTAAAGATATTGCCTCATTGAAATGGTTAACTTTTTTTTAAATTATTTTTTGATTTATGTTAGCAAAAGTTTTTTATACTCGTTTTAACTTCAAAGTTATATTTCTAAGTTATTTTTTTACAAATGTATAATAATAGTGAAAATATATAAATTATTTTGCAATTAAAAATTTACTACATTTTTAATTATAATATCTAAGGCTTGGATTTCAAATGTAATTCCACGTAAGTATTTTTTACAGGAAATTTAAAAAAAAAGTTGAGTAAAAAAGCACATTTATTTTTATATGATTGATTGAAATTCAATAAATTGTAAATTAAATTGGATATTTAAACTTAAAGAAATTTATATTATTTTGTTATTAGTAAAAAAACAATAACCATACAATTTTAAAGTATTCATTATTACTTAAACTATCATTTTTTTTTACACAATAAAATTTTCAAAATATCTATCATTAAGACTACTTTTAAGCTAATACTAGGCATTTGACGTTATCGAATTTTTATTTTATAAATATTGATAAAAAATGTATACTTTCTCGAAAATCTTGAAAATGTAAAACTAAATCTCTTATAAGTCATAAGGCCTTATAATATTTTTAAAATAAAGAAAATATAAAGGAACAATTTTTTCGAAACTTAGTACCTATACTGTAAAGGGGAAACAGCAGAATGCCAGAATGACATCTCTGATTTTTTTGTTATATATATTTAAAACTATATTAAAATAATAAGCTAATGTGTTGGTCACTTCAAATGTATTTGAAAATTAAAACTGATTTAATTTAGTTTGTCATAATAGAAATAACATATAATATTATTATGATATGGATTGTAAAATATTATTTAAAATATATAGTAATGTTAAACTTATGCAGCTTTTTCTTGTTTTTATATTAATTAGCAAAACATATTTTTCATTAATACCAACTAGAATATGTACATTTATTTATTTTACTGTATCTATGTATGTATTTTATTTATTTATTATAATAATACCTGTAAACAAAAAAAATCGAAGGTATATATGAATTAAATAATATATTAATATTAATACGATTAATAATTACAGAACTGTGTAGGAATAATGATGTATTTCGATGAAGTGTTGATATTATTTTGGCTATTTGTATAAGAATCCTCACAAACTTGCATATTTGGTACAAAGATTTAAGATTTTTTTTAATTTTTATAATCATTGAATATTATTTTGTATTGACGACTTGGTCATTGGTGCTGAATATGCTGTATACAATTACATTATTATTTAAGATTTTAATCTTTTTGTCAGCAGCATACGTGACATCAAAATAAATGTCATATTTAACATTCATAAAACTAAAACTAGGACTCTAGGATTAATACTCGTATTTCCGTCAATTTACTGATTATCGGCTGCACAGTTTTAGCGTGAAGCATTCTCGTAATGATTTTATTGAAATATTGTAATGAATTCTGTGTAGTTTTTACAATCTAAATAATTATAATATTTACTCGTTGTCCATAGTCGTCTCTGTGAGTGCGCAATTGCTATTATAATTATTTATATTTTAATAGTTGATAAACTTAAATTTACCTACTAATTTGTATTAATTTTAATTCAACCCAATAACAAAGTTAAGTACTTAGTGGTTTAAAAGTATTAATATTTCATGTGTATACCGAATACCACAGTAAATATTAATAAATCAATGAAATCGAGTTATCAGAATAATAACTACAAATTTTATTTTATTTTGGGCACTCGGGTCGTATCGTAACATCTAGTATTAAAGGCACCTACGAGTTTGTTATTAGATTACGTATTTAATGAAAGACATTAAACATTATTTAATTAGGTTCCTACGTACATGAACTTCTTTGTAAAATATTACACACTGCTCAGAGCATTTGTACATTATTGTGTCTTACACAATGACCTTATTATCCATTTTCCATCCTTATAACATAATGTTTTTCAAGAATCCATGAAACATATTATTTACAGATAACCTATGCTTTATCTAGATACCTATTCAACTTGTGCCACCTACTAAGATTACAATATTATCTTTCGTACATGATATTACTGAAACGAGTATTGCAAAATAATTGCAATTATTTATTTGGTATATTATCTTTAATAAATAATTAGGTAACTGAATAAAATTGTAGAATTAAACTACTAGTCAGCCAGAGTTGAGGATTTTAGAATGATTGTTGTAAATTCGATTAGGGATTTTTTTCCAATTTATATTGAAATAACTCAATCAACAACTTAATACTTCATACTTCCCTACTTTTACATAAATATTTTTTAAATGTTTAATAATAAAATAATTGTATACGTTTATATTTCGTTAAATATTAATTTTTCATTAAAAATTGATACTATTATAGTATTATATTCATCGAATACCAATTATGATTAAGAACAAAAATTAAAAAACTTTGAAATAATTATTTGTTTTACTTTATTGATTTTATTAATTTAACTTACAAATTATAATAGTGTAATCAATATAACCTACATAAATATAATACATAATTTATAAACTATTCTGCATTATTTTTCATTTGTAGTAAAAAAAAAAGCTACCTAGTACCTATATAGACTCACGATTATTATAATATTTTTGTTGTCGAACCTTTCTAACGATATCATATAATTTTATGGGAAACAGTCAAGTTGTAGTAAAATAATACACTTACCAAAGAATAAGTAATTCAAATAATCAGTTACATTATTTTTTTTTACAAAAAACACGAACAATAATAGTAATATGTTTGCATTATTGTTTACTTTGTGTTATTCTGTAAACGTGGTTTATCAACGTTAACTATTAAGTACATATTGGCCATTGGGACATCAGAATCACAACTTAAAAACCGGTTTACCATCTCATAGGTTATTAGGGTCACGGTTAGATATACTAGTTTGAGTCAAAATTAATTTATTTGTATTTACACACAAACAACGATATAGTTATTGACAAAAATATTAAAATTTAAAAAAGTAAATGTACCAATGTATTATTTTCATTGATTATATTATATTTTTTTTCTATAGATCACCTCTCAAACCTTCTCATTCAGATCAAGGACGCAATACAATGAGTACCACCAGGAGACAAAGCAAAGAGAAAATTGAAGAATCATGTTTTCGTCACAATTTGCTTACTATATTGACAATAGCTTCCGTAGCTGGTGGAGTGGTTTTAGGATTTATTTTAAAAGGATCTAAATCAGAGTGAGTATTATACTATTATAATACAGATTTTAAAATAAATTTCTGTTTATATTACTAATGCAAACGTTTCCCCATCGTTTCATCTCCAACCTACGGGCCACAATAATAACAATAATACAATAAAAAACAAAAATAATAACACAATAATAGGTAAAAAATTACGGTAATACGTTATACAAATACCTAAATGTTTTTTATATTTATTCAAAACTTGTAAACTGCAACATAAAAATACTTTTTTCACCTATGAATATTTTAATTTCTGATAACTGATTGCTTAAATCAGTGGTTCCCAACCTTTTTGGTACTATGGACCACTATGAGAACTTTGGATACGTCACGGACCACCTCAATTATATACCTTATTTTTCTTACAAATAAGAATCAATTTTTTTTCACATATTTTAGAATTTTGATTATTATTACATGAATATGAGGCTTTTAATAACATGGATTTCACTATGTAATATAAATTTATAAAGAAACGACGTACTATACACGATTGTCAGTAATTAGTGTTATGCCTCAAAGGAAAATGAAATTATTAAAATATTTTTACATTTTGTAAGTATGGCTCACGGACCACCTGACAATGTCTCGCGGACCACTAGTGGTCCACGGACCATAGGTTGGGAACCTATGGCTTAAATCCTATTGGTATCCTTATTGAAGTATATTTATTCCAGCGTGCTAGCGTGTTTTCAGAGTTTCATTCAGTGTTGTTCAATGTTCAAAATATATCTATTGCTATTCATTGGGTTATTTTTTCGAATTAAAATTTTTAATTTGTCTAATAAGTATAGGTACTATTGATAAGGTACTGAACTTCACTGAACACTGCGGAAAAAATATAGAACTATGATATGATAATTTCAAAGACAATCAAATCAAGTCAAACAGTTATGGTTGACTGTGCCATGAACGATTAGGTTTTAAAATATATATATTTTTAATCAGAATGTCTGTCAAATACTCAAATATATTGCAAAATTAGTAAAATAAAAGTACCAGATAAATTGTTAAGTTCTGTGAATGAATATAAAGCAGGTATATTGAAGTATAACGGCTTTTCTAGCGATGAAATTTCAATGATCTTCTCTAACTACTTTATTTACGTTAACTACGTACCACATCCTGAATAACTTGTTTTAACCTTTAAGTTTAAACTAGTTGCCTACTGAACGTATGTATTATAAGCTATAATTACTATAGTAAAGGGTATTCCACGATGTCTCAACTTTTATCAAGCTGTTACGCCTGTACAATATAAAAGTGATTGTGAAACATTATAATAAAAATCATAAACAATTTTGTAATACACAAAATTGAAAAATAACATCATCAATTAAATTATGTTTATAGATGGACAAAACGCGAAATAACGTACGTACAATTCCCTGGCGATATTTTCCTCCGTATGTTGAAAATGTTAATTGTCCCATTACTGGTATCATCTATTGTATCGGCTATCGGATCGTTGGATTTATCTTTGTCTAAGAAAATTGGTTTCCAATCAATTGCTTACTATGCAGCTACCACATCAATGGCAGTTTTGCAAGGCATATTTTGGGTGATGTTGATACATCCTGGTAAAATAATGAGCCAAGAAGAGCAAACGGCAAGCGTACACCAAGAAACTAGACCAATCACTACTGTCGACACTATATTAGACTTAATAAGGTTAGTAAACAACTTTTGACATTTTTAAACTTAATTTTTTTGATTTTACAAAGACAAATCTAATTACCAAAGTATTTATTTTTTGCAAAATAATCATAGGTTTTTTACACACGTTTACACGTGTATATTTTGTTTTCTTTACTATTTTATTATATACACGTACCTACTTGCAATAGTATAGGTAGTAAATACTCTCGATATATTTAAATAATCTTAGAGTATAAATTATAAGTAACTAAGGTACATTATTTTCCGAGATTTTCCACCCGAATACTAAAAATTTAAAATTTTTAAACTTTAATGACCTATAATATAATTATAAGTTATAATTTACATATAATTATAATTTATAACTATATGAATATAATAAAAAATAAACATCTAAGATAAAATTGACAACATTTTACAGAAATATATTTCCGGCCAATCTCGTTGAAGCAACTATATCGACTGTGAGTATATTACATTTCTATTGTTATTTATTTTTATACTAAATAATAAATATTTATTAAATAGTATTTAAAATAATTGTATTTTTCTTTTCTTTTAGTACCGAACAGTACTTATCCCTCCTAAAGCAGTAATGAACTCAACAGGTAATCATTATTTTTAATCTTAACTCATGTTTATAAATACAAAATTATTACCATTTAATAAAAGTTTAGTGTACAATTATTTATTTAAAATAAACAAAAGTAAATTCTACATAGTTAATTAATGCATGAACCAAAAAGTGTTGTCTCACAATACCGTTAAAAGTTTACAAAAAAACTAATTTATTCTTAATAGTTAGGTACCTACTGGCACATCCCAGCATACGTCATAACGTTTAGATACTAATTTAAGACACCGTTGTTATATGTTGCATAAACGTCCTTTAGAGATTATCTTTTAACATAAAGTAGTGATCCTTAATTAGACCGTTCATAGTTCATTTCGTTTGATATGAATGATAAATTCAATTTTTTAAGTTGTATGAAACTCGCTAACTCAGCATTAAAAGTATTAAATGTTAAATATAAATATCACCTAGGTACATTTAATAAAACAACTAAATTAAACAGCAACACTGTATAATTATTATTTATGTGACTTTATGCCGCTATATTACATTTTAACTAACTATTATCATTATGTAACTGATAAACATTATATATTACCTACACATTGACTAAAAAAATAAGAAGATAAATGTTTAAAAAAAAAACATTTTTTCATAATTTTTTTTGCCTAATATTTTATTACGAGCGAACAATAAATCATGACAAACATTTTTACCAGTTTTCTAGACTTGAATTATATAGTACCTATTTTTGTTTAACTATGATTTCTTTCGTCAATTTGTTTTTCTTAAATCTTTAAGTTAAAATTGATCGTTTTGTATGACAGTGTGACACCATATATAAATCAAAAAAGTGATTGATCTTAATATACTGTATCCACCTAAGTGTTAAATACTATCCGTCTTCGTTTAAAATTATAGATTAAAATTTAAAATGTTAAGGTACCTATACCTATAATATATTAAATATGTATATCGTACAATACATCTGTATAATAATATAATGTTTTTTAAATCAAAATATTCACATTGCTTTTAAATTAAAGCTAATTAAAAGTTTGAATTCACTCTGATGGTATGGTATGTGTCAAGTGTACCTCGTTATTGAGTACCTATGCAATTGTAATTAATGTTCAATTTGATTTGATATATCATTCTAAACGATTCTAAGCTCAGACAGTCTATAATTCTAAAGATATTTTCTAATTTTCTATTTGTATTAATATAATAATATGGTATATGTCCCACTACTCCCACTAATAATTATAAAATATTATTGTTTATACATAATAATAATATTCTAATACATATAATGTAAATAATTATCAATTGTGATAAGTTCTTACGAATAACTTTTATTTTAATTTCAACAAAATAAAATAATAATATTTGGGAAGAAATCGAATGTATTTTACGTGTAGTCGAGTGAATGTGCATCATTTTTGACATAATTTTAACTTCAAATGCTCATCAAAAATTATTGTAGATATACCCACAACTTCATTTTTTGATTCCAGCAACAATTATCTATAAGAAATCTTGAATACCTTTCAAGATTTTCGTCCATGTATACAATTTTTGACTAGAAAATAGTTTTAAAATCTTTGTGATATTGATGAATTATGCCAAAATTTGATATTCAAACGCTAATAAAAAAAAAATTATTACAATACATTATTAATATTTTTATTTTAGATTCTGAGTGGAACGTTGAATGTATTGTTTTACAATGATGTGTGTTTTTTTTTTTATTTTATTTTTATTTTTTTTTTTTGTGTCTGTCATCACCTTTTAGGACAGTAAAACTGCTTCGATTTTCTTCAACAGCAACTTTTCTGATTGGAAAGTGAATCTAGTTGGTACTTTGGGGGGTCAAAAGTAAAAATTTCCCAGTAGTTTTCAAAAGCGACGTGAAAAACAAAAGAAAAATTAAGGAAAAACGGGAATTTTTACGCAAAATCGATTTTTGTCAAAATTGATTTTGGTTTTTGGTGTAACTCTAAAGCAAATGACCATAGATGCATGAAATTTTCACTGGTTGTTTATATTTGCATTTTCTATACACGATAAAATTTTGAAAATAATTTGACTTTTTTTGAACGGTTTACGGACATTGTCAGTTTTCAATTTTTTTAGTTTTTTTTTCTATAAATATCAATAAAATTTTATTTGTTGGTTAAAAAAGCTTGAAAATTTAATAGAAGGCTCCTAGTATATTGTTTCAAAGGCATATGAAAAAAATTAAAAATCGTTAGTCACAGTTTTTATTTATAAGCATTTAAAGTTCAAATCTTGACAAAATACGGAAAAATCACGAAAATTAGCAAATTATTTTGAGTTTAAAATTCGTAAAAATTTTTCTTTTGAAATCTAAGGTTTGAAAATGTAATACAAGATTCCTCATAAGTTTGTCTACCTTTGTAAAAAAAAAAATGTCTACTAGAAAGTCAAATTAAATTTTTATGAGCGTTTGAAATTCATATTTTTACAACATTTGATATTCACTCGATTTCTCATGTAACGATTTTCTGTTTTTGTTGTAATTAAAAAACGAATGGCTGTAGACACTTGAAAATTTCACTGAATGTTGATATTAGCATTTTCTAAACACGATAAAATTTTGAAAATAATTTGACTCTTTTTGAGATGTTTACGGACATTGTCAATTTTCAATTTTCTTAGTTTTTTTTTCTGTAAATACCAATAAAATTTTATTTGTTGGGCGAAAAAGCTTGAAAATTTAATACAAGGCTCATGATATATTTTTACAATAGCAATTGTAAAATATTTAAAATACATAAGCACAATTTTTTTTTATAAGCATTTAAAATTCGAATTTTGACTCAGATATATATTGGTATTAATATGTCTTAAACCAAGACTGACATACCGTCTCCACTCAGAATCGTTTTTCTTATACAATGATATTGTATCATTGAATTCAAATTTAATTCCATCCATTATACAGTGACCCACTTGTAACCTACTGTACAGCAGAGCGACATCTACTTACCCGCTTTTTTTTTAAAAAACAAATATAATGAAGAACCAACGGTGTTCAATGTTCAAGTTTTATTTTTACTCACAAATAAAAATTGGAATACATAAGTAAAAGAACTATCTAATATCAACATATAATATGGATGAATATATATTCAATTTCTAAAAAATACCTATATAAATATTTGGTGAAAGTTTCAAGTATCTACTGTTTTATCTACGGTTGTTCGTTTTTGAGTTGCAACAAAATAACGAAATCTATATCATCAAAAATTGATGTTGCTTAAATATTCCGGTTATCCCGTAATTTGTTTTTCGTTTATCCCGATAAGTTGTAACTGGAAATGTTTTATTTTGACCCTCGAAATAACTACATCAAATTTTCTATTAAAAATTAGAATTCAACCTCAAGTTTGAAGTATTTAGCATTTTTACTGCTCCAAAGAGTGATGATAAACACAAAAAATATACATAATTGTATTACCAATTGTTCCCTTCAGAGCCTATAATATTATTCTTGGGTACTGAAATTAAATCACGTTTAAATCAAGTTATGATTTTAATAACCCACCAACCTGCATTATGAATTATATATTTACATATATCATATAACATGTTAAAAATATTCAACATACTTATGTTAGTTAAATTCAAATAATCTATTGTGAAATGGAATAGTAAGTTTTGGACGTTATGTTCCGATCTGTTTGTGCAGAAATCGATCCCTGCCTACGTGAGTAGGTGTTATAACAGCAATTTACAAATGTAGATACCGTATCAAGCTTACAAATTAAATTAATATTATTGTATAAGAAATTTTGAATGACAATTATAATTCCTGTAAAGTTAAGTATAAATGTAGGTATCTATTATTTATACCTATTAAAATATAGTTAGTATTTTACAGCCTTCCAACAAAATTTGTTTAGATTAAAATAAAAACCGTTAATTAATCAATACCTACTCTTTTTCTGATACTATAAACTAACAATAGTACTTACTACTTATAAACTACTTATGTACATATGTATAACATTATGCAGATAATATAGTTTATTTTTTAACAAGTAGGTACATCGATCATCGTGTGTATAATACAATTATTGTTTTATTTTAGTTAACGCTACTGATATGACATTATGGGAAATAAAATCAGAAATGGTTGATGGATCTAACGTGCTTGGATTAGTAGCATTCTCTGTAGCTTTTGGTATATGCATTGGAAAATTGGGACCAATGGGAAAGCCACTTCTAAACTTTTTCGATAGTTTGGGTGAAGCTGTGATGTTAATGACCAATTGGGTGATATGGTAAAAATATAATTTTCATATATGTTTAATATGTTATGAAGGTATACTTACTTGAAGAAAATCGTTTGTTTTTATTCCAGGTTATCGCCAATGGGTGTGCTCTTTTTAGTAGCATCCAAAGTATTGGAATTGGACGATTTTGGAGTGATTGTTGGTAGATTAGGAATGTATTTCTTGACAGTAGTGCTTGGTTTGTTCGTTCATGGATTTGTTCTATTACCACTCATGTACAGTTTATTCACACGTCAATTACCATTCCAATTCACATTGAACATGGGTCAAGCTATAATAACAGCATTCGGAACAGCTTCCAGGTATAAGTGCTATAATAAATTTACTCTTCGACCTGTGGGTTGTAAATTTAGTTAAGGTAAAATTACGAGCCAAATACTTTAAAATATCAATAGTAATTTCATTATTTTGATACTATATTACTACACCTATACTATATACTACCTATAGGTAATAGTAACATTATTAAATTACTTCTTTATATTATTTAAATTAACCAACTTAAAATTGAATTTTTTACTTTCAATGTAGTAAACTTAAATAACATTCTTCAAATCTGTGTTTCAGTTCTGCGTCTTTACCAATTTCAATGGCCTGTCTAGAAGAAAACAATAAAATTGACGTTCGAGTTTCACGATTTGTAATGCCCATTGGAGCCACGATCAACATGGATGGTACTGCCTTATACGAAGCAGTAGCCGCAATTTTTATTGCTCAACTGAAAGGCATACAATTAAGTTTTGGTCAAATTGCAGCTGTAAGGTACGTCATGTTGTTTATTTTAATTTATTTGCTGCCCATAGGCCATAATACTAATTTCATGGAGGTATATTTATATAAAAGTACAGAACTGTACTACAGGTGCCTACTTAATGAATACAAAGTAATTTATAATGTGTGATAAATGAAAAAAAATTAAACAATAAATTGCTACTAAACTAAAAACCCAGGGTGCCTATTTAAACTTTTTTATGTCAATAATATATTTATTTATAATTTTAATTAGTGTGACAGCTACAATGGCATCTATTGGAGCAGCCGGAATTCCTCAGGCAGGATTAGTTACAATGGTGATGGTTTTGGACACATTAGGACTACCAGCAGATGATGTGTCATTGATCATTGCTGTAGATTGGTTGCTGTAAGTATATATACTTTTTCGGATGTTAAACATGCACTAGGTATACACCGTACACCATATTTTAATATATTTTTACTTGGTTAATGTACCTATTACTTATAAGTGGCTTTTACAGGGCTTTAAATAATTATTGAACTAAATTAAATTAATTAAATTCAAACTACATAATTTTAAAACTACATACCTACCAAGTGGTAATTAGTATACGTATACATACCTACATAAGCGACTAAATAGTACCTATTGATATATATATATACAATAATTTCGTGTACCTACAGCAAAAGTGTTTTAATCAAAGTACCACTTAAACGTTATTTTTATCAACGATAAGATACAAGCAAAGAAAAAAAAAACATCTTAATAATCTTTCCTATTATTTATCTCAAATTATTGAATAGGTAATTTTTTTTTTATTGAAATGTTGTAGTTTACAATTAATCTCGACAGTTAAGTGTACATGCTTTAGTAATTATATAAGCAACCCAGGATTAAGAAAGAACGAAGTTGAGGCGGTAACGGCAGTAACAGATTGAGAGGAAAGTATATGGCGAGCGTCGGGTGTGCTGTTGAGAGTGAAGGAGAGAAAAGAAGCGAGAACGATCTGCCGACAAGAAAGGGCAATCAAACAAAATGTGGTTAAAATCACAGACCGCTGGAGTGTGAGGAAAAATACAGAGAGGCGAGTCGTTAAAGGATTATTTAAAGGAATAGAGGGGAGTAAAGAGTGGCTGAAATGAAGGCGGGGGAAAGAACTAATTACTTTATGAGATAAGTTGTATAGGTAATTAATGTCTGGAAATCATAATATATATTAATATAGCTAACTATCTGCTAAAATGCTAGATGATATTCACAATAGGTACACAAGCGTCTCTAAAAATTCCGTACACGACGAATTTAATAGCATTATTGACTAAAATTATATACTTTTTAGATTTTATTTTGATTTATGAGTATGTAAGTTTTGGATTTTTTTTTACAATATAGGTAATGTTATATACTAATATATTATACTCAATTTAAAAACCTACCAAAAAAATTGCCTTTGTGCATATTAATCAATCAACGATACAATATAGTTAGGGTTCCATGTATTTGTATTGCCTAATTTATTTTTTGTTTTTACCCTTGTTAGTGACCGATTCCGAACCACTGTGAATGTGCTTGGAGACGCTTACGGTGCTGGAATTGTTGCGAAATTGGCAGAAAACGATTTGGAAATTATGTCGTCCAACGGAACTGCGGAAGGAGGTAAAGTGCCCAACGATGAATGGCACACAACATCTATGTAGACACAATCAGCCATTTTTATTTTCGTTTTGTAACTACATTTTATAATTTCCGTTCTGTTTTAGAACATTTAAACTTAATCTTAATAAGGGTGTACCATCATTTTTATTATTAACCAGATATTATATTGTTTTGTTTATTGTTTTTAACGAAATAAAATCAAATTAGTCTTAGACATAATTATTATATTTATTTTGATTATTGTAATCCATTATTAATAGAAACATTTTTATAACTATTAAGAATTGTTCACCAGAAACATATAGGTAGATAAGATACCTATAGGTTACTAATAATAATTGTAAATACTCATCTGAAATGTACCTACCTTACTTTTAAATACAAGTAATCTAAGAGGTTAGGAAGATTAGATTCCCTTAGATTAAGTAACTACAACTAAATGTTTAAATTTTCAAAAAAATTGTACACCAACATTACACCTAGTTATCATCTATTTTGTATTTTAATTTTAATTATTCACAATGCAGTCATATAAAAGTGATGCCATAAGATTATGTTTTACTAATAAAATTCATATTTAAAAAATAAGTTTATGTAAAATAATACTGTCCAACAGACAATACTAAACATAAACAACAAATATCACTAAAATAACACTATGATCTGTTAACATAGGTAAGCTTTTGCATCTCAGTAAAATCATTTTAATCATATACTTTTTCATTTGATTACTTTCATAACTGTACAAATTACAAATATAAAACTGAATACCTTTAACCTAAAATTAAAAATATATGATCTTTTAACTATTACAACTAGGTATTGTAAGAATAATGATTAATATATAGATTCATTTTAATACTTTGAATTTCAATCAGAAGCATAAGGCATAACTATTATAATTTATCAATTAATGATTGGCTTACATTAAACTATAATTTAAAAATTGTAATGATTAAAAAGTTATGACTACATAAATTTAATATTCTAATTTACTTGTGTACAATATTAAACTACAATGTTTATGTAAGAATAACAAATAATTTGTGTTCCTCTCCATACTAAAATATTCCATTATTATTATTTAGAATTTTACATCATCTTACAAATTAAAATTAAAATATTTTAGATATTTTTGGATACCTATTTTAATAACTATGTTGATAGATTGTATGTAATATTCTTTTATTGTATGTAATCCACATTTTTCTTTCAATATTGCCTACTTCATTTTATTTATATATTTATAAGACATTTCATTAATAACTTTATAATAAATTATAGATAAAAAAAATCATAATATTATGCTAGTAGGCCTTTTGGTCTTTCACAAATCATTAGCTTATAGTTCAGTATTTTAAGTAATTTAATTTATTTGAGTTATTATTACTGTACTTTAGTTAATACCGTTTTTTTTTATATATGGTTTTATTATTAGTTTAGTGAAAAAAAGCTTTTATATGATAGGTACACAAATATAAATGGTGTATTTAATCAAACTTTTTGAATAATGTATACCTGAATTTAGAACAAGAATAGAAATAATCATAATAATGAGTGTTCAAGTTAATCATTAGTATAATACTATAATTACACTTTAATAATATTATATTATAACATTAATAATTATATTTTTATCAGATTAAAAATTATATATATTAGTATAAACTGTTTGTACTTCATATTATTTATTTAGATACTTCTAGAAAGTTTTCCTGAAAAAGCGTTGGTGTTCAAATATGGTAAAAATATCAATTTTTAAAAATAAGTACCTAGATTTTTACCCAGTTAATTGTACCCAAATATACTAACTATTTAATTTAATGAATTAGGATTCATAATCTATATTGGATAGGTACACAATACACATTAGTAAATTATAACAACAAAACCACAAATGTATAAAAGGCAAATGATGAGTCCGTTAAAAACGGATTAGAATTTAACAAACAGATAGGCAGGTAGATTTGAGTAGTAAAGTTGAGCTGCTATTGCCTATTATAGCCTATAGGTAGTAATACAAAATCAAGATTAAATTCATGGACTGATAGTGTTGTTTCATAGACATTAGAATTTAGGGGTTTAAGGTTGCTTCAATTCTCAAGCAAAGGTAGGTATATAAATAAATAGCCGATAAATATGGTTACCTATTTTTAATATACCTACTTTTTGAAGTTGAAAGCATACATAAAAAAAAGAAATTAAAATAATGGCACATGTTGTTTGCTTAAAATAATGTCTTTCCTAAATAATTTAGGTACATATAAGAATATAACTATTGGTATTTATTTAGCCATCAATCAACAAATCACCAAGTATTCTAATGATAGGTGCTGATTTTGTAAATGTATAAGAATTCTTTGTCTATTAATTAATCAAGAAAATTATTATTTTTCTTATCGTCAATCACATATAAAATTACTTCTACAAACAATTTTTTTTGGTGCTCCGCCTTGTGGCCTTGCATACAATAATGGGATTATAGATGGCCAGATTAGTTAGTATTTTATTTATCATAATTACATATCACCGACTTCTTGCTGTTGCTGAAAAAGTCAAATCATTCAAATAAATTAATTATATGCATTTCAAAAGAATCCAACTTCTTCTATTTACTTCATAACTCAACTGATTCATTAGTGTCGATCAAAAATAAATAATCTATGATTCATGAATTAAATATCTTCAACTACGGAAGCACATACTCGGGTTAATTGAATTACCTATGGAATTCAAATAGATAATAATGCTAATACATGACAAAAGTGTATATCACTCTTCGCTACATAGGTAAATGGGTTCAATAACTTAGCACAATAATAAAATATGGTAATATAAATTACATATATTATATTATTAATATAAGTTATAAGTACAACTAATATGTTCATTAGGGATGACTGTATGAGTAAATAATGTGCAATCATTTAGAGCATTCTTTCATTTGTAGAATAAAAAAATATGAAGAATTTAATCACGTATATTAGGTACACACTCCAAGCAATCATGAAGCACTAACATAATGTCTTATGTTGTAGGTATAACTGTATAAGCTAGCCACTAGGTAGTTTAAAAAATTTTCAGTTAACGTTCTTAAAAGAATTGAAGGATCTTAATACATGTATTTCTTTTAGTTAAAATTGTTTTTGGGGCAGTGGACACCAAAACCTATGTATAGGTGAGAGAAGTAGATATTATAAATTACTAAGTATAGCCTGCATAGATCTGGACTCTGGACGTTAAGTAAAATGATGAATAATGATAAGGGGTTCTGGAATAAGAACAAGCAAATAGATTTAAAGATTCAGTTAAAAATTACGAGTAAACCTTGATGCCCAAACAATACGAATTACGAATACGTGTTTCGTAATTTGTAATCAATAAATATTAAATATTTAAACACGACTGATATCCCGCGTCTATGATGACTGATAAGAGGCGATAAAAGATAACATTATAACAAGTGTCGTTTGGTTGAGGAAAACATATTACGTCTTGTGAACGCACGACAAACGAAACACCAAAACGACACATTGTACCTAACCTTAAAATGTTGCCGTCTTCGAATACCGTATTCATTATTTAGCAACGACGTCTTTTGGCGTAGCGATTTGTGGCCCGTGGATTGCGGCATTGCTATTTAATATTTATTGTACATGTGCGTCCGGTGTTCTTGTCCAACGACTGCAAGGCCCGACTTTTAGCTGTGGATGATCGTAAAAACATTAAATTACCAATATGGATCAAGATGATGTAAGTAAAATATAATATAATTGTTAATGAATTCAAGTTCCAGCAACTAGTATTGTAACCTACAGCAGGTATATATAGTGGAGTAGATTATAATTCGTCATTTCCCTGCGAATATACATCTATCTATCATTCCCATCTGTCTACCATTATATTTTTAATGTACCTATGATTTCTTTTACGATAGTATTGGGCAATGTACATTTGTCGTCATTGTCTAGATTTTCGTCAATATACCTAGTCAAGTATATTACTTGAATAATAAATTCTTGCATATACTGATTAGTTATGTCTTCTTTTTTGTCTATTGGAACTAGATAGTGGAGTTGATTTGTAGATGTTTCAGTCCTCTCATTGTAGGTACCACATTGTTTTAGATTTTCGACGATTTTAGTCCATATCCAAATCTATAAAATGTTATTAGAATATTTGCTATCATAAATTTAAATAAAAGTGTTTTGATTGCTCATATTCTGTTGATATTATATGAGGTAGGTATTCAAAATTAAGTGAAAAAAATAACTTCTGTTGTCATTAAATAAGTACCTGCTCCAAAAAGTTATCCTGTGTGTTTCAAATTATACTAATAAATAGGGCCCTTTTTAAGTAATGAATATTGCATATGCATATATTTATGAATTTAAAATTTTTAAAAATATGCAAAGAATGTAGGTAGGTAAGTACATAAAAAATGTATAATATGCATACAACTTCGGTAAAAAAAAATGTTTAAATATGAATAAATTATAAAGTATTTATTGTTATGAAAGGATTGGAATTAAATTGGTAGTGAATTATAAATTCAGTGTAGTATAAAATATTCAAACAATAATACATTTATTTTTATGGATCGATCAATTTATCGAAACTGCTATTAGCCCATGACAACAAAACTTTGAAAAAAATTATAATTATTTAATTTAATATTTCTAATTTATTAACTTGAGTGAAATTATCTAAAAAATTGTGTAACTTTGTTAATTTTTACTCGAATATTCAAAAATTTAACTAGGTACTTGTGGAATGTGCATTCTGCCTGTCATAAAAAGTTGATATTTCTAAGTTAAATGTAAGAATGAGTAAGCACTTCCCTATGATTTTACATCAAAGACTGGGCCTTATAGTAATAACATATTTTATAGTACCAGTAATGTTTTAATTAGGTATATTTTGTTTTTGAAATATCTATTAAAATATGATGAAAACAATTTTTTTTTTGTGTGCAGGTAACAGATCTAATTTTGTTGATATCTTTAATATTTTATATGTATGTAGAAATCTAAACTTTTTACTGATTTTATTTTCTAAATCTTCACATTGTGTTAAGTTACATAATAATATATGTTTTGAATATAATTACGTAAATATATACAGCCTTGAATCCTTGAATTATTAAAACTTTTTGGTATATTATAATGCTTTTCCCAAAAAATATTTGAAATTAATATAATATTATTTTTGTTTTCAGATTGTTTGGTCTATTATAAAAGATACATTTTGTTCATTCAAAATCAAGTAAACTATTAATATTATAATTATACTTTTATGCATTAGAGTTATCTAATCCTAATTATGTTTTAAATAAATTTTTAGGACGGACACTTCAAATTTTTGCCGTAATGAATATAATTTATCAGGTTTGTGCAATCGCACTCACTGCCCGTTGGCTAATAGCAGATATGCTACAGTTAGAGAAGAGAAGGGTATTATATATCTCTTCTTAAAAACTGCTGAAAGGTGTGCATTTAGAATAATTAGTTATGTATTAAATTTATGTATTGTTTTAAATATATATTTTTGTAGATCCGTTTATCCAAAAAGACAGTGGGAAAAAATCAAATTATCAAGAAATTTCCAAAAAGC